TGGAAACACCCTGCCTTGTTAAGACACACAGGCACTAACACAAAGGACATGGAGGTGATGGGTTTTCCAGAAGAAGGAATGTGGCCAGGAGATGTTTGTTTGTCATTTGGGAAATGTGGCAGGGCAGGTGCCTGAACCTCACTTCTCAGATTTCTCACACAACACTTGAATTGCAGAAATACTGTGTTGGCTTTTTTTTTTTTGTCATTCAGCAGTTACATTTGAAGCTGTGCTACGAGCTTCACAGAAGTAATCAAAGCTCCTCTCTTTTATGATCTAATTTTCAGCTGTGGCACAACAACCAGGCTCACTGCCAAGAATTGTGGAGAAAAGAGGAAAATAGACTAGAATTATTATAGCAGGATTGAGTGGATTCTCAGCAAGATGTGATTGTCTGTGCTGTGACACAAGAGCCTTGAAAGGCACAGAATGAGACACGTGCATGGCATGTATGTAAAAAGCACAAACACTATGTTCTTATTTATTATTTGGGTTGCAGTGCTGTCTCCTGGTTCTGGCTGGGAGTCTGTACTGATAGCAGCTTACCCTTTTCCCAGTGGGGACGTAGTCTGAGTGGCTGGTCTGGTATCCATCTGTCTTGATTATCTCTGCAAGGGTTTTTTTGGCTTCACAGAGCTGTATCTCCTCATAGCAATTGGGTGCTCCATCTGAACCACCATTCAGCCGGTGGCTGCCTGAAGGTGGTTCTCTCAGGTACAGAGAAGCATCTGAAACAATCCACTGGGGATTTGTATGTCTCAAGAGGGTCTCATGGCAGCTCAGACTGAGTTCACCTTCAGCTTCTATAGGCTGAAGGTGTCTGAGCCAGCTACTTGGACTCTGGGCGTGGGCCGTGTCTGGGTGTGAGAGGCCGATGGCATCAGGGTGGTGTTTGTGGAGCATCTCCCTGGTATCAGGGTAGTGGGCTTTGCTCAGGTAGGTCCTGCAGACCCAGATGCAGAAACGGGAATGCAGGGGGGACTCCAGTATGGAAATAGTCACAGGCTGTGTTCTTTGGTGTGGAGAGACAGCTCAAGCTCTGCAAGGAACTTACTGACCTAATATTTCAAACATGTCATTTGAGGAGCTGTTCAGGACTTGGCAGCCCAGTCTAGGACTTGCTGCTTCTCTCCTTAAGGGGAGTTTCTGGCTCTAATTGACAGCAGCCAGAGCAGGTTATTAATCCTGCACTGCTGTGGGCAAATGTCTGAAGGGAAATGCAGCACAAGGTAGGGCTGGCTGGAGCCACGAGAGCCTGTGCAGCCAACTGTGGCCCAGGGTAGGGCTGAAGGCCTGGCAGTGTTGGGTACTGACCTGAAAGATGCAGGTCATGGAGGTGCCATCACCTTGCAGGTGGCCTGTCCCAGCACACAGCTGTCTGCACTGCTTAGAAAACTTGTCCTGATTCCTGATCTTGCTGTTGTATATTAAAGGAGCAGACTAAATGGCCCATGAGCTTTGGAAACTCTCTGTGGAAGAGCCTGTGGGTCTTGTGAGATCAGAAGGCACCAAATAGAGCTGGCCTTCAAATGGGGACACACAGGCGTCCCTGCCAGTTCCCAAGCTGGCATAGAGGACACCAACCTCAGGCATTTGAAGAGATCTCCAGCACTGAGCAGTAGCTAAATTGCTGCCTGAATGCTTTGCTTGCAAATGCTTGTTGTAGTTATGCTTCACTGTGATCTGTTTTACTACAAAGGCTCCTTATTTCCTTTGCACAGGGCAAATACATTCTCAGAGACAAAAAAGGGGAAGTGGGATGAGGTGGGCTGAGGGCAGTGTAATAACTTTAACCTGGAAACTGTGACAGATGAAGCTGTAAAGTCATTTTTCTGGGCAGCCTGAGGCAAAGTCAGGAAATGAAGCTGGATGTGCTGAGCCCAGGGCCTTGTTACCTCGTGGTCCTTTCTGTAAGAACATTTTTACTTAGCCGTGTGGAAGGACCAAGCAGTAAACTATGTTTACAATTTCTATTTTTCAGACAGTGCTTTGAAATACTTTATGCTGTAGCAAAATTAAGTTCACCCATCTCTCTTACAATACATAGAGATTTTTTCCAGAATCACACTCCTTTTAAAAACATATTTTCTGCCACGCTCTTCTCGCTGCCTATCTGGGAAACGTGTGCAGCTATTTGATAAACAGACTGCAGAAAACACCAGTGAAGTCGCAGTCTCCCTGCAGGAGAGGAATAGCTAAAGGGAAGAATGGTAAATAAGATATGTGTAAGTAAATTAATTCTGCTCATATAAGCTTGTTTGCAGCTTTAGTTCCTGTCTGCAGCAGAATCTTCTGATCTGCAGCAGGTGGTTGGTGTTGTTTGGGATCAGAGCGGTGAGCCTGAGAGGAGCCTCACACACAGAGCTGCAGCAGGAGCTCTAAGGAGGTAGTTGTGGTGTGTGTTTCACTGGCATTTCCTGCTGCAACGAGGTGCAGATGTGTTGCAGCCTGACAGTGCAAATCCACCATTGATTTTGCCTGGTAGAAATAAATAATTGTCTTTTTTCCTGAGTTTTCTGCAAACTGTGAGATTGCTCAGTGTGTAATTGATTTGCTTAGTCAGAAAATATGGCTTTTTTGAAATACTTTAGGGAGGTTTAATTGTGAAAAGGAATCCTTTAGAACAGCACAATCCAAAACAAGCCTGACTGTAAAAATGAACAGTTATTTAAAGTTTTGCTGTCTGTTTTTTAATACTTCCAGCAGCATTGATGCCATATGGATTTGTTTTGATGTGGTGAACCATCTATGCGTTTTGTTGGTGGCTTTTGTTTTTCTGGTGAAGATGTGAATTAACCATAAGATTTACACTGAAGCATTCGCACTTCTGGAGGCAAACAGATGTGGGCTGCACCCTTCAGTTAGTCTTTCAGTGAGTCCATCCTGTTAAAATCTTCTGTCTCTTTGAAGCTAGAGTGTTTGAAGAGGGTAGGAGTTGCAGCCCAGCCCTGGAGTTGTGCTGCAGCACGAGGAAAGCAGCTTTGGAGGGAATGGGGCAGCCACAGGCTGTAACCTGATGTTCCTAAGTCAGAAGAAGCTTTGAAAGAGTAAACCCTGCCTGTGTTGCAGACAACAAATCCTCCACAGGTTTCATGCAAATGCACTTCAGAGGACAGGGTTCGTTGCTGAGCCAGCTCCAGGCTGCAGCTGGCTCTCCACAGTGAAGCTTGTTAGTAAAGACAAACTAGCGAGGCTTAATAATGGGAGCTGTAGGTGAACAAATTGGGGTTAGAGAGAGCAGGGAGGTCTGGCAAAGGGGGTGTAGTGCTGGTTTGCCTGTGGCTTTGTGCTGGAGCCCTGCACCCCTTCCCCTGCTGCTCTAAGTCACCCCTACTGCCTGCCTCCTGCTCTAGAAGGGATCTGTGCTTTGGGATTGAAGGGTTTAAATATAGTTTTAATAGAAGCTTTTAAAGTTGATTTCATCATTTCATTACTGTTCTGAGTGACTGACGTTTCTGTCAGTTTATTTCAAACATGCCTGCAGGAAAGGCAGGAGATGGGGGAAGGTTATACCAGGGAGGGGAAGGAGGTGAACAGCGGGCCTGTGGTGAAGGATGTGTTGGATTTGGATGTTGCCTTCCTGTGACATTCAATGCACAGCGTGCTCTCCCTGTGGTTGGCCTGTAACCTAGGGTTAAATCTGCCATCCAGATCTTTCTCAGGTTTCCCTACTGACATAAAAGGTTTGCTTATCTTTGTCTGCTGTGCTTCTGCAGCAGTCCTGCAGGTTGTTCCTCTTTGCAGCAGCATTTGGCTGCAGTTTCACTGAATATCTCTGGGAAGCTTCAAAGGCCAGGCTCGACCTTTGCTCCATGCTTCTTGGGGAAGTCACCTGTGTTCCCAGGCTGGTGGCTGGATGGGGCTTTTTGAACTCACGCAGCCCACCTGTTCCTCCTGTAAATTAAGTGTAGTGACCATGAAAACAAGGCGTTGTGAGTGACATCCAGCTTCCGTGGTTGCTTTGCATGTAGAGAGCCAAAGGTTGCAATATCTCCATGTTAAGCCTACAGTAAAGTGTAGTTCTCTGGATGTAATCCAGGATTCTGTGACTAATGCTCTTTAGATTCTCCCCAAAAACAGTGATCAAATGATGCATCTGGCAGCAGCACATCTTTAGAAGTGATTAAGGGTTGACAGACGTGCTGCAGAGGATCATTTCCTGTTCTGGACCACACTGGGAAGACTGAACTCTCTGGTTCAAATTGAGACTGAAATTAGCATGCAGGAAACAGTGAATTTTATTCAGCAGTTATAGCTTTGTGTTACATTTTCATTTCGTAGGTCTTTTCCAAAGGAAAAGCCAATTCCTACATGCTGATAATCATTAAGCCTTGTTGATTTGCAACTCAGAGTAGCTTTTGTACATGGTGGGCAATGAGGATGATGCATGATTTCACGTAGGCTGGAACCAAGGGAGTCCAGAGGAAGCCCCAGAGAACAACTCATTCTTAAACTCTTCCTTTGCTGTTGAATACGTTGCTTAAACAGCAGCAAGTCACTGGCCATAGCTTGGCTTCCAAGCTGTTCAGTGGTACTCTGTGGGGCCATGCAGGGAGACCAAGAGCCTACTGTGGAGTCCTGAATGGCTGTGGGTTTGTTGTTCTGCAGTTGGGTTTGGATACAGGAAGTTCTTCCCTGCAAATAAGAATTCAAGAGGCCGAAAGTTTGACCCTTAACCCTTGATTGTTGAGAAGCCATACTTCTTCACTTCCTTGTGAACTTAGGCTGACTTTCACTCTAACTGCAGAAAGAGAAGTTCCCTTTATCTGTGTTACTTCTTGCGCACAGATATAATCTCATCTTTATCACTGGTATAAATTTTGTATCTAGCTTATATTTGGTGCTGCCTTTCCTTCTGGGTGGCTGCTTGCTGTTTGTTGACAGGCTGCTAGAGTTTTGTCTTCATTTCCTTTCTGGATGAAAGGAGTCAAAGGTGAGTGTCTTGATTATGTTGTGCTGTGTGGACATTGCCACTCACCTCTCTTTGTGTTTCCTTCTAGAGCTTTTGAGGAGACGTTCAGTCATGCCACACTCTCTGTGTGAGTGCTAGCATTCCAGCTCTCTGCAGTCCCATCTGAGACTCTGTGGGCAGCACGCAGTGATGGAGGACTCTCCAACAGATGTTGTGGCTGAAGACAGTGACACAGGCTTCCAAGACACAGAGGCTGAACTGGCAGAGCGGGTGGCGGCCATAGATGTGTCTGTTCACCCAGACAGAAGTGACCAAAATGGGGAAGACATCACTGAAGAAAATGACACTGTCTTTTCTGATATCGTAAAAGACATCCAAAGAAATGGAGTCAGCAGTGACGTGGAAACGAATGAATTCCTGCTCTCCCAGCAACCAGATGATGCTCACTGTGGGCATGCTTCCAAGAGACCTCTTGCTAGACCTGTGCTATCAAGTAGGAAGTTGTCTCTTCAGGAAAGATCATCAGGAAGCCATTTGGCATCGAGCAGCGCTCTGGGTTTTGGTCATTATGCCACAGGGCCATCACCACGTATAATGCGGAGACCAACGATAGAGTCCAATCGAGTCTCCATCTCGGATGCTGAGGTAGGTGTGTCCTCTACTTTAACTGTGGTGTTGAGGTGGGATACGTCTTAACTGGTAATGAGAGTCTGTGGTCTTTCAAAATAGTAAATCTGAAAGCAGTGTTTTTCTAAGATTCTTGAAATCAGGAATTATGTTCACTTGGAATGGCCTATCACCTTTATGTCCATCCCCTAAAGCTGAAATAGGGATCCTTCAGCCCTCACCTGCCTGAAGTAGTCCTGCTAACAGACTGGGACTCCCAGTTATGTGGTGGTAGCACGCAGAAGGCCTGTAAGGCTGTTCAGAAAATGGGCTGAGACCAACTGCATTTGTTTTCTGTGTCCCTGCATGCGTGCCCTTCGGGAGTTTATCAATTACAGCAGCTCTGCTGCTGGTATTTCATGGATTTACACTTCTGAAGTTTATACATCTCCTTTTGTGTTTGGGCATTATTGAAGGCACAATTTAATTTTATAAAGAGCTTAAATGCACTGGCATTTTCAGTGCTTACCAGGATTTTCTTATGTCTTTAAAGTATTTGCATGGATTTGTAACAGCGGTGGTAACTGAGAGCCATGACTCCTCCTTCAGATGAATTTCTCTGGGTAGCTGCAATCCTTCCTGCCCTGTCTTACAGCTCCTCTCCTGGTATTAGAGCTGGGCTCAGACATGTCCCAAAGGTGTGACACTCTGCTTTTGGTCAAGCCCATCGATGGAAGTGGCTGCTGGTTGCAGCTCCCTGTGTCATGCAGGGCTGCAGTGCTGGTGGAGAAGCCTGTCCTGTCTGCCATCCCAGGGAAAAAAGATCAGGATGGCAGTTTGAGCTTTTCTTTCTAGCTAAGCTACTGGTGTGCATGCCATGATGTGAGTTACTGGGGAGGACAGGGAGCAGAGAGGGGCTCTGCTGCCTTGTCACGCCAAGGCCACAGGTCATCAAGTATGCAGCAGTTTGCAGCTGTCATATGCATGGTGCAGCAGAGCCTGTGAGGAAGTGGGTGTAGATCAAACTGGAACTTCAGCAGGACTTTATTTGAACGCTGAACGTGATAAAAGTGGAGTAAATTGATGGTTTTTTGAAACAAAGAATGCTTCCTTAAATGCTGCTGGCTAGGAATATTTTTAAGTAGGAAAAGAGCTGACTGGAGTACCAGAAAGGGAACGTCTGTTTAGTGGAGCTTGCATTGTTTATTGCATTGTTATATTGGAGTGTTATGCTACTCCCTGCTCTAATGCCTAAAACTCATTTTTGTCCTGCCCTGTGTACTATGTGAGCAAAACCACTAATTTCAGCCTGGAGCTTAACACATGTGGCTCAGTGCTTCCTTCTGAAAAGCAGGTGTTTTCCTCCTGTACCTCTGATGGGATTGGTGCACATGCAAATCAGCCACTATCTGCTGAGAATTTTTGCAAGTCATGTTAGCTGTGAGGTGGTCATGGCTGGTAAGTGAATATCTGCATGTAGTGAACTGCAGAGGTTGCAACTTCTTTGACAACAGCCACGTGCTTTAATTGGAGATGTGGGAGTGAGAGGAGCTGATTCCTGGAAACGTGTGTGTCTGGTGTGCCAGCTCTGCCCTCCTGCAGTGCTTTGCCTGCGCCAAGAGTAGGGATGGTCTGGAATGTGCTTCTAAGTACCTGCAGTCAATTCTAGCACACTCCAGTCTGAAACAAATCAAAAATACTCAGTCCCCTCTCACAGTATCTGCATCTCAGGGAGCAATATCTTGGGACAGGAAATGTTCAGTTTGAAATGCAGCTGCGCAGTCCTTCATTTCCCTGCTCCAACAGCAATCTGTCAGACATCTGTGTTTATAATGGTCACTTGCTTAACTGCTCAGAGCCTTGCTGCACTGCAGCCAAGATGCTTAACAGAGCTGTGCTCATTAAAAACATCATTCATATTAATAGGGAATTGCTGCAGTAGCAGATGGAAGGGGAGGTCAGGTGAGAGCTGTGGGTGCTTGCTCCCTCAACAAGGCCCTTGGGAACAGTGCTTTGACAGTACTGCTGTCTGTATCCTGTACGAAACAGCAAAAGAACTGGAAAGATGCAGGTTGTGTATGAGGTAAGTCTGAGGCTGAGCGCAGGGGTGACCACTCTCTCATCTGTTTAAAGCCTTTGAGTTGCTCCTTTCTCTTTGCACTGAGTAGTTGGCACCAGCACTCAGTGCCTTCCCAGTGCCAGGACACCCATGGCTTTGGCTCACAGTCACTTCCTGCATAGCTTGCAGTCTGCGTGAAGATGAAGTTTATGAGCATTGAGGCTTTATCAGAGGTGCATGTGCAGGCATCATCCATCAGGAGCCAAGATGGATGGCACAGCTGTACATCAAAATTTCCTTTGTTATGCCGATAATGATCTTGAATTGAAAATGCTTTCCCTCTCCAGTGATGCTAGGAGCAATGTATCTTTCATCTGGAGAAGTAATGGAGAAACATGCTTTGGGGAGGCTGGATAAGGGCATGTGACAGATGTGAATTTTCTGTTGTTCTCCTCTGAATTATGAAGGACTTATGTGTTCAGTCAGTGATGCCACTGAGCTTTATAAGTCCAGTTCAACACTCGCTCACAGGCTGGCAGGAAAACTGATATTCAGAGATCTGAGGGCTGAGAACTGAAGCTGCAGCAGGCACTGTGGGCACTGACAGCACTATCCCTGGTACCCTGCTGCCAGCACATGCCTTTGGAGGGGGACAGCTTGTGAGGATTGAGGAAGGCAGTGACTCCTGGGCTGGTTGGGCTGAAACAGAGCCAGGGCTTGTTGTCATTTGGCAATTAGGCTGCCAATTAGTTGATTGCCCTGAGACGAAGTATTGATAGCTGCCTGGTGTCTTGTGGCTTCTGCTGACAAGTCTGGATCTGCAGTATTAACTCTGCATGAGAAGTAACCCATTCTGTTCCCCTGACACTTACTGTGTACTTAATTAACCCAGCCTGTCACATCTCTGATAACAAATTCATAATTTTCAAAGCATGGGATGTGAGAAAGATTCCCTGCTTGTTCCTCTCCTCTCTAAAGCTCTGTGTGGACCATTGTCTGAGAAGGTCCTTCCAGCATCATGTTCCCCTATGGGAGTGCCTGTAGGGCTGGTAGCATTCTTGCTTCTCTCACCAACTCTTTGGTCGAACAAAGGAATGGCTTTGCGTTTAGCTTTGAATCACAGAATCACCCGGGTTGGAAGGGACCCCAAGGATCATGTAGTTCCAACCCCCCTGCCTAGCAGGGCCACCAAACATCCACATTCAGATCAGGTTGCCCAGGACCCCGTCCAACCTGGCCTTAAACACGTCCAAGGACGGGGCATCCACAACCTCCCTGGGCAGCCCGTTCCAGGGCCTAACCACTCTCCTAGTAAAGAACTTCCCCCTAACATCCAACCTAAATCTTCCCTCCTTCAACTTAAAACCATTTCCCCTAGTCCTGCTGTTATCAGCCCTTTTGAAGAGTTTACTCCCCTCCTGGGTGTAGGTTCCCTTCAGGTATTGATAGGCTGCAATGAGGTCACCCCGCAGCCTTCTCTTCTCCAGGCTGAACAAGCCCAACTCCCTCAGCCTGTCCTCATAGGGGAGGCGCTCCAGCCCCCTGATCATCTTAGTCGCCCTCCTCTGGACCCTTTCCAAAATCTCAATGTCTTGTACTGAGGGCTCCACACCTGGACACAGTACTCCAGATGGGACCTCACAAGAGCCGAGTAGAGAGGGACAATCACCTCCCTGTCCCTGCTGGCCACCCCTCTCCTGATGGAGCCCAGAATCCCATTTGCCTTTCGAGCTGCCAGAGCGCACTGCTGGCTTATATTCAGTCTCTTGTCCATCAGGACCCCCAGGTCCTTCTCTGCCGAGCTGCTCTCAAGGACCGCTCCTCCCAGCCTGTACAGGTGCCGGGGGTTCTTCCGGCCCAAATGCAAAACCTTGCACTTTGCTGTGTTGAACCTCATCAGGTTCAGCCGAGCCCAGCCCTCCAGCCTGTCGAGGTCCCTCTGAATGGCATCCCTTCCTTCCACCGTATCACAGAAGTTTGGCACAGAAGTTAATAAACTGAAGCTGTTAAAGGTGCATAACTGCAGAATTGAAGTACAGGCCCAAGAATTTAGGTCACAGGCACATGTAGCTCATTGGTATGAGCACTCCCAGCTCCTGCTTGGTACTGGCAGCATGGCAGGAGGAGAGAGCTTTCCATAGGGTTCTCAAAGCACCTTCTGCTTTGCTGCACGGATGATGCCCTGGCACTTGCATGTACCAGGAAAAGGAGGAAACAGCAATCAAGTTCATACAGACCAATGGTGATCTTATTGCTGGGTTTGACAGAGCTTGTCCCACCTAAATTGCAGGGCTTGTATCTGTGCAAGGGTGGATGTGCTGCTTGCTGGGAAGTCACATTTGAAAATGCGACATGCTGTTTTTATTTTGCCATCCCAAACCAAGCTTTTGAGGTAGCTGAGAAAAGTTTCATTTGAAGAGTAGCTAGATGGAGAATAAAAGACTTCTCTTTCCCCAGACTTGCCAGCACTGTTAGTTTCTTTATACCTATCCAATCTGCTGATTATCTGAATCTGATTATTCCTCTCTTTCCCCTGGATCCACCCATGCCTACCAACCCAGTGTGGTCATCCCAGCCCCTGTGTTTGCGTGGTATCCCCCTTTGGGACCAGCAGGATGCTCTGGCTCTGTGCTGCAGGGGTGGCCCAGCTCAGCCTGGTAAGGACTGAGGCCAAGCATGCTTGAGCAGGAGTGCAAAGCATGAAGTCAGGTCAGCATGCCTTCCCTCCTCAGAGCTGCTGCTGGCCTGAGCACAAGGATGGGGGTGAGGTGACAGGGTGTTTTCCTGTGCTCAGTGTCCACAGCTCACCCCAGAGGCACAGAAAATAAGTAATGACTTTCTTTTCTACTTTTGCTTTTCCACATCTTTACATCAGGCCTCTTGCTTGTCTGTTTGACTGGTTGGAAGCAGCTGGTGTCAGGAGCTGGGAGAGGCAGTGCTCTGGTGTCGGGCTGACTCAGGTTTTGTACTCTTCAAATGCTTGGGAGCTGCCTGATTCTCTTCACAAGGCTGTGATTTCCTTGCCTTACACAGAGATAAATCCTCTAGGGACTGGAGGAGCAACAGGGACTGAACCTCTGGGTGGGCTGAAGCACTTCCCTCTCTAGCCCTGCAGGTCCCAAACTTCATTCTTGTGCAAGTCCTGCTGCAGTGCTCAAGCTACAGTTCTACTGAAAAGATCAAAGATGCTTGTAAAACATCCCTTCGAAGAAGAATTCCCCGCAGATGCTGCTAATTGCTTTTCCTAGGACTAATTAGCCTTTATTTAAAAGTTACGTTTCCAATTTACCTGAAGCTCATTTTAAAGGTATGGCTGGGAGGAGGAGAAGGCACAAAGCCACAGTTGCAGAGGGGCTGCTTCCATCCCACTGCCCTCAGCCCCCTCACTCTTGCCTCAGTGAGAGTTGCGTGGGAAGCTCAGCTGTCATGTTATGTACTGAGGAAATCTAAAGCCATTAGCCATGCCAGCAGGCTTTGAGAGAAAGTCTGGAGAAAGATGTCTTCATTCTAGCTGCTCTCCAAATGAGCTGCCAGGGATTCAGCAAATGCCTGGCATGCTGCGTTCAGATCTGGGGCTTGGGGTGGGTGAACTCGGGTGGTGGTGCTCAGCCTTGGTGTTCTGCACAGCCACAGCCACTCACAGTGCTGGGCTGCAACTTCTGCACTTGCTGGATGATGTTTAAACATCTATTTGTTTTTCTTATCTTCTTATGAGTGCTGCGCTTCCTGTGGGTCCTTCTCTGTCCCTTAACAGCTTTGTAATTTATATCCATTGCTGCCCCTGATGCCCCTTGTCTGGCTTTTATTTTCATTTAGTCTGTTTTTAGAACTGCTTTCACTTCCCCTTTCAGCTGGGGAAGAGCTTTAAAACAGCACTGTCTTCATTAGTGACTTGAAGTTCCCAGTTTTCTCTCCCGTGTTTTCTCTGCAAAGCATATCTCTAAATTGATGAAACTCATAGCTATTTTGAGATTGATGAATTTGGCTTCCTTTCAGGGGTAGAATATTTCCCAATGTATGTATACATGGCCGCCCTAATTATTTTTGGAAATGTCTTCTTTTGGAAGTAAGCTCTTGTTCTTCATTTCCACCCCAATGTACCCTATGGGCAGCAAAGGCTCAGTTTTCCATTTCTCCAAGCTCCTGTCACTCAGTGGTGGCAGCAGGATTTATGGATTTGGGCCTGGACTGCATTGTAATTTATGATTTTTTAAATCACTTTGTGCATTTTCTGTGTCTCTGACCTCTCTTCTCTTTCTTTTGAGTAATACCTTGGACAGGCAAACAAATGGGCATCTGCCATTTAAGATGGAACAATTACTGCATGTTTAGATGGATGCAGCAGTCTAATTCACTGACACTTCTCATTAAGTACAAACAGTAAGAAACATTATCAGCAGTTGCAGAACACTGGTGTGATGAAATCAAGAGAATTGTACAGTGTTATCTTAAAAATAATAATAATAAAGAGTTGGCCGAAAGATCGGTGTTTGTGTTTGATAAAGAAATAGTACAAATATCCCACCTCCTGCAGGAGAACCAAATGATAACATAATAAAAAACCTGCCAGTCTGCAGTGACACGTGGCAGGAGTCACCAGAGCTGTGAATTACAGCCTTTCTGCAAAGAAGGGGAAAAAAAAGAGGTAAAAAGCACCTACAGGCTGGTCTGAATTTTTGCTGAGTTGAGCACAAGTGCCCAGAGCACCGCAGAAGCTCAGATGGTGCTTTTCACCAGCAGTTATCTGAACGCAGAGCAGTGCGGGTGTGAATCACAGGAGCTGTGCTGCAGTGAGGGAGCTATGGCAGGCTGTGCTGCAGAGCTGGATCTCTGGCTGTGAGCTCGCTGTGCCCTGACATCAGCCTTCCCTCGGCCCTTGTCTTGGTGTTGCCTTTCCTTCTACAACTGTTCCTTCTTAATCTGCGTAGATCACTACAGTGCAAAGCACAGCTTTGCTGGGAAGTGAATCTGCTGACTTAGTGCTTTCCTGGGAGTCTGTCCCTCATGTGTCTGTGCCTTGGGTTCTATATGCTGCCTCGTATTTGAGAAGGAGTTCCTTTTAAAATGCAGTGAGTTTATTTTCTTCTGTACATTTCAGGGATATGATCCTTCATCTCTTGTCTTTTGCTGGGTCGTGCTCTCCTCTCTTGTTGCTCCTAGTTCTAATTGATTGGGTTTTGCTGTTGGTAAGATTTGATGTGCTTTGCTATCAATAGAATTAATGCACTTCTGTGGCTCCATTACTCACTGTTGGCTCTTTTTTCTTGTTAGGGTGGTGGAAAAAAACTTTCTTCACTGGAAACAAAATGGAGATTTAAGTCATTCTTTGTATTCCTGACAAACCACTGTGAGCTATGAAAGTCATAATTTCCCCATTTCTTTATTCTCCTTCACTTTGGTGCTCACTTGCATTGGAAAGTCTTTCTGGCTCATGCTGGGGGAAGTACGAGAATTATCATATGCTGCATCAGTGCTCTAATGCATCTTGATCTGTGAACTGTTCTTGCTTTTACTGGGGAGCTGTAACATTTGTCTGTTCCTTCAAACGTATTGAAGACATCTGGCACCCTTTTGCTGTGCTGCTGCAGATTGTGGTATTTTGAGGCTTGTGGGAAGTCTAATCCACCTATCTGCGTGCTTGGTGTCAGCTTTGTTCACAGAGTGCCTTGTGTGGAGGCTAGAAGTGGGTTGCCAGCCTGCTTTAGTGTTTGGCAGTCCCAGGGAGAGAGCTGTTGTTTTTAAAATGCTGTGTGGAGAAGCACGTCCTGTCTATGGCTCAGCATATTTCATCCACGTGGGACAGAAACTCTCTGCTTCTTTCACTCCATGGAGTTTAGGGCTGTGCTGTCCCCTGCAATGCAGTTAAATGCTGTTTGTTAAGTCTGCTCCAAGGTACAAAAAAAAAAAAAAGCCACAACTCTGCAGCATCCCCAGAATCTCTCCTTGAATAAATATTTGCAAAATAGTGAGCTGAGAGCAGTCAGCATTCCTGCTGAGCTCTGCAGAGTCATGCTGCACTCACCTTGGGAATGGGGACATGGCAGTGCCATAGTGGGGACAAGGGATGATGCCTCTGCCCCCCATGTGCTCAGGTCCTTAGTACTGAAAGATCCTGGTGCCCTGAGCTGTGGCTCACTGTGCTGACATATGAGCTTTCTCTGCGCTGCCATGGGACGTGTGCAGGATGGGCTTAAGAAAATGCAGACACTTTGGCTCCATCAGAATGGAATTTCATCTGATTTTTGGAGAAGCGCTGCCAGCACTCTGTGGGGGTTTTTTGCGTGTTCGTTTTTTTGTTTTGTTTTGTTTTGTTTTTGGAGGCTGGCAAACTCATGAGAATCTTTTAATACTGTACATAATCCCCTTCCTCAACATCTTACCCTTTCAGTACAAGCTGCTGGAAGGGCAGCCTGCCCTTCAGACTCACTTCCTAGGGAAGTGGAAGAGGCTGCAGCAGCCCCGCTGTCTCTGGATATCAAGCTTTTATTGCCAGTGTGCATGTCAGAGTTTTGTTCTTTTGCTCACAGAGTACAGCCCTGTGCAGAATACAGCAGAGGAGTTTGGCTCTGTGTTTTCTCCTCGAAGACCAATCGATGAATCTGCTGGGTGCAGCCACAGTTGTCACAAGCAGCCCATGGAGGGTCAAGGCCTCTGCCAGGGTGATGCCAGGGATGGTGTTGTTCCTGCCGCTCTGCTGAGGCTGACATGGGTGCCTGGATGCTCATCCGTGGGAGCCACATGCTCTGTGGAGTTGGAGTTGGTGTTGAACATTGCAGTCTGATGCAGTCAGTAAATGTAAAGGGCCAGGTGCTGCTGGCAGGCTCATAAGGCTGAGCCTGGAGCAGTGCTGGTGCTTTGGGGGGTGAATGTGCTGTTGGAGCCACTGCACCACAGTCAGAACTCAGCTCATAATTGCTTTGTTATGAGCTGTCTTTATAAAACAAGCAAAGTAGTGCTCGTAGTGTAACTTACAGTGGTTTAAATAAGATCTAGTCTTTGGCTGTTCAGCGCTCTGCCTCTGTTTGACACTGAATCAAACAATTTCCTTTTACCGGTACTCTAATTATGTTCTCCTTTTGATCCACAGGACTGTGTGCAATTAAACCAGTACAAGCTGCAGAGTGAAATAGGCAAGGTATGTTCCTGGAGCTGGTGTTTGTCATAAGAGACCTGCATACACGCACACATACAGTACAGGTCAAAAGCCTGTGCTAGCCTGGGAGATCTTACTGGCCAAGACTTCTTGAAACTTGTGCTTGGTTCAGTTTGGGGTTTGTTTGTTTGTTTTCTTTTTTGCCTTATTAGTTTGGGTAAGTTCTGTTCAAGGTCAAAGTGGAATGACTTCCTCTGAAATCTAACTTTGTTTTCCTTCCCTATGAAGATGGTTACGTTGGCTTCTTTTCAAGACGTTTGCTTGCCAAATGTAACACTAAATGGTCTTAATGCATAAATACAAACAATCAGGGGAAGCAAAATAACCAAAAAAAAACAAAAAGAGAAGGGCAGGTGTTTGGTCCATGCCAGCACTAGCTTAAGTTTTTATTTCTATGAATGAACTGCTAGTTTATTGTAGTCCATATTTAAATGCTGCAGAATGATTCAGAATAGATTGCTCCAAAGTTATTTAGAGGTCTGGGCTGTTGAGCAGTTCAGACACCTGCATGTTTGGACATCTGCCATCACTGCAGATGGATCCACAAGCAATTATGCTTTCTGGAAGCTGTACCTACTTTGGCAGTTGGTGGTTCTAGTTGAATGCATATCATGCTGCAGACTTTCACCAGAAGTTTTATTAGCCCAAACTCTTCTCCAAGGCAAGAGGCTTCGATGGAGTTTGGCTTCAGGCTGTCACTGGAGCTGTGGATATAGTAACAATCCAACAGGCTGTTGGAGGAAGGCAGGCTGTTGGTCCTCCCTGAAGTTCATTCGCTCTAAAGAGATGAAGGGATTTGTGGCTGAAAATGGTCTTGCTCAGAAGTGCAGAAAGGTGTCCACACAAAGCATACAAACTTCCACAAGAAATTCTGCTCACATTATTCTCTCCCTTTTCCAGCCATTTTTGATGTAGGTCAGGCACAATGGCTTGGTCTTGGGGCAGGAGGGGATGGGCTGACACACAACTCCACCAGTCAGTGTTACTCCTCAGCACATGCCTTGTGGCTGCTGCTGTGGGAGGAACGTAGAGGGCTACGTACTACCAGTCCTGAGCAGCAAGGAGACCAGGCAAAGCTGCTGAACTAACTGCAATTTGTGTTTATTTTCAGGGTTCTTATGGTGTTGTGAAGCTGGCCTACAACAAGGATGATGACAAGTATTATGTAAGTGTCTCCCTCCTTCTCTCCACAGTCTCCACTGCTCCTCATTTCCTTTTGTACCTGTAAGAGCTATGTCCCCCCTTTCCTTGCTGCTTTTAGCACATGCGTTTCTGATTTGAGTGGCATGCAAGGATACAAACATCCCTGTTGGGCATGGAGTGATATGCAGTTGTCTGTGCATCTGCTTGTGTGCCTATGTGTTGTGGTGAGTGGGAATCAGGTGGGCTGCATTATGTAACAGACAAGGGCCTTGCAGGCAGGAAGCATATTGGTGATTTGTCCTGACACTGTCTGGCTATGAAGCAGGCTACTTGAAATGAAAGGCATGTGTGGGTGGTGGTAGTCAGCACCTGCTCTGCATTGGAAGAGCAACCTGCAATGAGCATGCCTGTTTTTTAAGGAAACACAAGGTTTTATCAGAAATGCTGAATGGCACGGCTCAGCTTGGCTGTGTCTGGCTCTGCTGCATCTTTCCTTCTTGCAGGATGCATCTCCATAAACTAAACAGGTGTAGGATGCAGTGCAGAGGGCAAGCCTTGGCTTTTAAATGTTTTTGCTGAACTGAAGCCAGAATTAGAAGGTTTAGATACAGAAAGGCTGTATATGCTGAAGCCTCCTTGTCTGTCACTCTCTTTTCAGAAGCAGGCAAATCCTAAATGTTCAAGCTGGGATTCCTACAAAACCCACTTGTGAAAACTGTTAATTTTGTTTGGGCTGCAAGCAGGAGCTGGGCAGCTGGCAAAAGGAAAACTGCCTTGTTGTGTGTGGATGTGCCTGAAGGCTTGTGGAAAGCAGCTTGCTTTGAGCAGTTTCTGTTGAATGACAGGTGTCTGCTGGGAAGGGCCCAGTGTTGCAGTGCTGTGAAACCCAAACCCAGCTGCCTTCCAGGCAGCCTTGTCAGTCTGGCCCAGCAGTGCAGATGCTGCTCCGTGCCCTGTTCAGCAATGGGACAGTGCAGGGCAAGCACATGGCAATCTCATTTTCCCTGCTGCAATGGAGCAGCCTTGTGTGATTGGAAATGGAGCCATCAGAGTGCCCTGACAGACTTGTGTTGGTGCAGTGCAGAGGGGAATAGGAATGTTCTATGGAAATGTAACATGTGCTCGCTCCTGTGGTGGTGACAGAGTGACTGTGGTCAGCCCAGCTAGTTTTCTTTCCCTGGTTCTTGGATTTACAAGTGGCATACAAGGTTAGAGAGACTGTGTGGGAGTTGCATGCCTGTTAGTATCCCCAGCCCTTCCTTTCTGCCAGAGGGTATGAAACCATGGGAGAAGTACCTTGAAGGATGGAAGAGATGAGACAAAAATCTGGAGAAGGTGCCCTGAAGCTGGCCAAGCAAAGGAACTGCAATTCTTTCCATCCCAGGCTGACTCACCCACCACACTGGAGTGGTTGCTGTTTCTGAGGGCTTCCTTTCTTTTCTGCTCTCTGAATGCTTCCCCCATGTCCTGGAGCAACACAGTTTAGCTCTGCAGAGAACAGCAGTGCCAGCTGTGGCTCCCCTGATGCATCTGTTCCATCAGCCTAGGGGAGTGCCAGGGCCAGTAGCATGAAGTAGGGAATGCATCACACTGTATTTATTTCAGTCTAAGTATATTTTTTTTAATGGTGGAAATCCTGATGCGGTGCTCTGGCTGCTCTGAGCAGGCAGGGCAGTTGTCACATCTCAGCAGGCAAGAGGTCAGTGTAGTTGGTATTGTGAACTGTCTTCTTTGTCCATGTTTTGGCTGCAGGTGAACACCTCAGATGTGGGTTTAACTGGCCAAATCAAAGTTAAAAGTGAAGGCCTAGGTCAGGTTAGCCTGCTGTGTGTTAGTTAATCCCTGCTTAATCTCTGTTTAGTTTCCTAATCTTGGCAAATGCCTTGAAGCTACTGTAGCCTGAGAGTGGCTCTGATGTCACTGCACCTCTGATTTGGCCTTGCTAGCCCAAGAGAGACAGGATGCACAAACCCAGCATTGCAGGGATGCACTGTTTGGTTCTCCTTTGCTGTTGGGGAGTTAACTCAGGAGCTGAAACAGAACGGGGGCTCTGTGGCTGAAGCTGATGCTGGGAGATGTGAGAGATGCAATAGTGGCAGAGGTGGAATCAGAGCAGAAGCATCAGAACTGTCACCACTGTTTCACTGCTGTGAGTGTAAGCATATGGGAGAGGAAAGGGCAGGTGACTGCACTGCTGACCTGCAGGAAGGAAGGCTGCAGTGCTACTGCCTGTGCTTCACATCCTTGCTAATCTTTCGGCTGGGGTAGTGAAGCTTTTTCTTTTCCCCCACGCTTCTAAATGGCCTTGCTTATGTTTACCAGAGCCGAAGATTTTTTTTAAAGCTTCAGAGAAACAAAAGCAAATTGCATAATTATCTAATGGGTGCTCAGCTCCCCACACCTCCCAGTGTGTCTGACCTCTGTGCTGCTTCCAGCTCTGAGGTAACTCCATGCAGCTCTGCTTTATCGCTCCTGTCTGAGGCTGTTACAGCAACCCTGACCCACTGGGCACAGGTATCTAATGCAAATGTATGTTACCAGCAATTACAAGAAGCAATTGTGATTCTGACAGTTGGGGAAAGCCTTTTCTGTGCGTGTTGTCACCAATTTGGCTCTGGAGGATTGTTTTTATGTCAGTGGTGTAAAGCAGTAACAGATAATGGGAGAAAATCATCCCCTTGGTTGCATTTAGTGAGCAGTCCCAGTGGCTGATTCACATGTACAGTGCTTTAGCTTTAGCTTGAGACCAGGGTGTTTCTGCATGCTTTATTTTCTTTGAGCTGGAATGCTGCAATAAAAAGGAGCAAATCTTAAAGCAGAAAAATTTGTTGTGGAGTACAATTCAGAGCATGACACATCTGATTCTTTCTGAAACACAGGGCCTTTTGCAAGATCCTCTCGTAAGTGCAGGTATCAGGAATTGAATCTCTGACAAAGTGAATGGAGAGATTTCTCTTGCTTGAATGAATTTTGGGCATGACCTAGAGTTAGGAAAAACTCTTAGAAAAAAAAGCTGATCATCACATCTGGGGAAAATGTGGAGTTGCATTTATTCTGTGGATTGTTCTTCCTTCCATTAAAGATGAGCAAGTGCTTCCAAGAGCTGTGTACTTTGTTGCTGTGAACAACTGCAGTGCTGTGAAGGGCTGTGAAATCATGTTTATTTACATCAACGGATGCAGGGAACATTTCAGCCTGGGGAAACTGAACTTCTAGTACCAAGCATGTGACTGGTGCTCCCTCCAAGGAAGTGACCCTTCAGCTGCAGAGCTGGGTACAGAAAGCTGCCTCTGCCACTGCAGCAGCGTGTAAAGCTGCTAAAGCAATGTTTGCAAGGCTCTGCCAAGGAGCCCTTTGTGGCTGGGAAGGTTTCAGTGTCACAATTTGCAGGAAATGCTTTGACAGTGAGCAGGGGTAAAAAGCAGAAAAAGCCAAGCTCTGTTGAAAGAGCAGCAAATAAAAAGCAAAGGCAAATGTGTCCAGGTGGAGATCTAATTTGGAGTCATTGTGCTGATGGAATTTGATTCTGTGATGCCTCAGGTCATGTCTCCTTCCTGTTTTCAATCTCTAAATCAGCTCACAGAGAAAAGTGGTTATGATGGACATTTGTTACGCTAGTTTTGGACAAAAGCAATCGCATTGTAGGTTGTCAGTGAGTTGCTTTTTCCCCCTTTTTTAATCTGGTTTCCTAAGAAACAAGATTTGTGTTATCAGGCTGTCTACCTGTATATACCTAACAATCTTTGTATCAGGGCTCTTTGCTCCCAAGTTTCAGGGTGGGGAGAGGTCCCTTCTGAGCTGATGAACTCAGAGAGCTGCATAGAGTGTTACTGCAGGGTGAAAGATGGTCACCAGCAAGTCTTACTGTTGTGCATGCTGCAAGGATTTGGATCACCCCAGGTAAAAGTGGGAACAGGATTTTGGGATGTGGCAGCTAAGCCTGTTGAGGTAAGGCTTTTCTCTCACCTCACAGCATTCCTCTCTCCTGGCAGAGCCGCTTAGCTGCTTTCTCTAAGGGTGCCATAGTCAGAGAGGGCAAGTGGAGGAGGACTGGGAATGTGCTGTGATCCTCTCAGCACTCCCACGGTGCTGGATCATGCTCTGGCAGAGGATTTTGGTGGTTAGTAGCCAGGCTTTGAACCATTTCCCTCTCCCCTGGGAGCTGTGGGTCTGGACTGTGTATGGTTTTCTGTTCTTGCATGGGTTTAGGTCCTTTTCCATGCAAGTCCTCCTGTTACCAAGTAAAATTATATCCCAAGTGTTGCGAGAATATCACAAGGCACAGCTGATTGGTTTCCTTGTTTTGTCGCTATTCCATCCCCCAAATAACAGACGTTTTCCAGTTGTCATTAACACAAACAGGATGTTGAGTTCAAGGCCTCACTGTTGTGAAGGCTGCTATGTCCCAGGTCCCTCCTCCTGCATAAATCTGAGATCTCCTCCCTTGATGTCCTCACAAAACCGCTTTCCTGTGAGTTCAAGGTACAGGGTTGCTATGGGGAGTGCAGAAGACTTAAATAATAAATGGACATCAAAGAGAAATGCAGAGTTCCCACTGCCTGTCAGAAAAATGTCACAGCTCGTGTCCTTGTATGAATAGTCGGAAGGATGGTGGGTGCAAGGGCGTGTGGAGGGGGGATCTTTGAGGGTCTCCTCTTTTCCTGAGGAAGCTGAAGCAATACTTAGCAGTGTAAAGGGAAAATCCCTTGGCTTGGCTCTGAGCTGATTCTTTATCAAAAAAAGCATTATCTGGGTAATTAGCTCTGCCTGCAAATAGAAATGCCTTTGGCACTTTCCTTCATGTGAGCCTGGAAGGACCGATTTGCTGGATCATCTCTGTGTTGCTCTTGTAATGCACAGCTCCAGTTCATTGAGGAAGCCTCATTCTGTAATTACAGTGCAGCTTCACTGCCATGTGTTCCCATCTCCGCTTTTGTGATAATTAAGCAGCTCTGACCTTTTGCATGATAAAGTTTGTTTTTCATTCCGCATTTCTGTTTGGAAGTTCAGTGGCACAGGTCCTCTCTTCTGATGCAGCCCTGCTTGTATGATACCCACAGCTACCACAATTTGAAAGTGGTGTAGATGCATCCTGACAGCAGAGGTGGTTTGTAGTCAGCTTAACCTACGTTACAGAAACTCCCACTTGTTTCCCCATGGCCCTTCATAATATCTTTTGGAGAGGCTGGGTGACCTCAGAAGCTCTTGTTGTCAGCCTTCCTTCTTCAGTATTGCTCCTCTCTGTCCCTTAGTGCTTCTGTCTCACCATCCCCAGAGCTGACCCCAGCCAGGACTGGGCTGATGCAGGCACAGCTGTAGCCATAGTTCAGTTTCTAAAGCTGTGATGCAGCTTCAGAGTTTTATGCACCAAATTACATCTTCTACTTCTTCTTTCTCTAAAGCTTATTGCCAGAAGGCAAAGGTCTCAGGGTGGGACTGGGGCAACAGGGGCCTTCTATTCCCAGGCTGGTGCTGGTGGCAGATAAATAAGTATATAAAGCCCTTTGATACTTTTTTCCTAACAACTTGCCTAATGGAGCGATAAAAGCAAGGGATGCAAGAAGTCCTCTGGGCTTGGTCCTGACCATTCTTGGATGTGGTTGTGCATGTCTTGGATCACTTTTCAGTAGACTGTGAATCATTTGGCTGCCTGTACTGGAGACAGCATTGTGCTAAATGAAAGATAAGTCCTTTTGAGCCTGTCTCTCAGTGCTGTCATTTCCATTGGCTCAGGAGCTGTCAGGCAGGATTGAGAGCCTCACTGAGCTGAGCCAGGTTCTCTTCTCAATTACACGGGTGCAAATCCAAAGGATTTCACTGGATCAGTACCAGAAATAACAATCCTTTCAGTGAGCTGTGAACCTGGCTGCAGCGTGAGCGTGGGTGAGGACCTCAGGGCACACAGCAGCATTGCCAGCAAAAACAGCTTGAGAAGGAACTCGCCAAAATGGCTTTGGTGACCTGTTCCTGGTGGATGTGTTAAGAACAGGCAGTGTGCAGAGCCTGCCATCATGGAAGTAATACAGAATTCCTTGGCGTTCGACTGTGTCCTGCAGGAGTCTTTTGCTAATTATATTTCAGAGGGGGTCACTCTGGTGTGAATTAGAGATTTGTATGCTTAATTAAGAGGAGTAGCTACCTATCCTGGGAGAGGGAATGAGTAACTGTCCCATCGCCAGGGAGTTTAGACTATTTTCCTAAGCAAATTGTACCAAGAGCTGGTTTTGCATGGAAATTTATTTGATGGGCCACTTGGGGATGTGGCCCTCAGAAAAGTTATGAACTCACAGATGAGATGGAGGTACAGAGGCTGTTTATTAAATTCACATTGCCTTTTGTCATGGTGTTAATACCAATTGGATGGCAGAAAAAATTACAGTGACTCCATCCCATGCTTCCTGTGTTTGTGCTTTTGCCAGTGCATGATCGGGTGGGAGGTGAGAGGGAAACTGCTGAAAAGATGCACAGAAATGGCTGCACCACTGCTGAGGCTGCAGGGATGGGTGCCTGTGAAGTACCTCTCTAAGGACCTTGGATATCGTGCTGGATCACAACGAAGATGCTACTTGTTGCTCTAGCAGTCAGGAAGAGGCTTTATAGTGTAAAAATGGTTATGAGAATGCATAAGGCCTTCTGAGGCAAGGCAGAGCTGTGTCCTCACTGTACCCTGGGTGTGTGATGGAGGTTGAAGGATGTTAGTGGTATGGCTTTGACACTCCAGCTCTTTTGCTTCCTAAACCTTCTGGCAAGGCAAAAAGGAAGCAGCCTGGACACTTCTCTGACTTCCAGCACGGCCGTAGCATCATCCAGAAACAAGTTACATAAATGCTCAGTTGAGGAACCCACCTCTTCCCTTAAGTTCCAGCCTTAAATGCAGGAATTGGATTTATTTTCCTATATCCTATTTGAAATGAATTAAAACCAATAATTTTTTCTGTGGGATGACCACCGTGCTCCATCATCAAAGCAGTGAGCACTTGAGTTCTTGTTTGGTTTTAATACTGATTTTTCATTTTCCTTCAGGCTATGAAAGTCCTCTCCAAAAAGAAGCTCCTGAAGCAGTATGGATTTCCACGTGGGTATCTCACATTCTGAGATCTGCTTGTTGTCCTCAGGCAGATCTGTCAATAGAAACATTGCCTGGAAGGAGTGCAGAACTTTACCTTGTTTGAAGGTTTCCCAAGTAGTTCGAGGGCTGGTTAAAATGCAGCGGGTGGTGAAAGACCAAGCACAAAGAAATTCAAAGCACTTGGTAATTGGGTTTCTGGCTTTGATTTTCTAGTCTTTGAAGTACTGGCTCTTCCCTGTTCATCATATATGAAACCTAATTAAGTGCTGGAATTTAGGTAGGGTTAGACCCCCTTCCTCCTAGGGGCTCTTCTGTCCCTTTAGAATAGCACCTTGTCCAAAAAGTGGGGCAGTGGGATTTGACAGGCAGACCAGGCTGGAAAGTCAGCAGGAGCAAGCCTAAATGTGTTTTGGAAATCACTGTTCAGGGTAGAATCTGTAATGCTTTGGGATCATAATAAGGCAATGAAATTTTCCAGAGTAGCCCAAGATACCCTGCAGAAGTACCAGTTGCTGCTCACTCCTGCATGCTGAAAGGTGAGTTCTTCCTCACTGTGTTATTGTGATTGCAGGTCGACCTCCTCCTAGAGGGTCAAAAACATCCACTGGCGAGCAGTCTAAAACAATGGCACCACTGGACAGAGTCTATCAGGAAATAGCCATATTAAAGAAACTGGACCATGTCAACGTTGTTAAACTGATAGAGGTGAGCTACTTCTCCACCCTAAGCTACGCAGAAACAAGTCTGGTTTGTATTGTGACAAGGGGATGTTTCTTCAACTGCTCTTACTTCAGCTGAAATTGTTTTAAAACAGTTGTTTAAAAATACAGGTTGTTTATCTTAAATAAGATCACACCAGTTGTGTGTGACAAACTGACACACTTAACTCTGGGCTTTGGCCTAGTGCCCAAGTGAGGGCAGCTGGATGTGCTGGTAGAAACAGCAGCAAGCTTTGACCAATGAAACTTGTGCATAGACAAGCATGGGAAGGTGGACAAACTCAAGGCTTCGTTGCCCTTTTGAATATTAGCTATTGTCAGATCAGGATAAGCAGTGCCTTTTTATTGGTAAGCTACAAACATGGGGAGAAGTTGGAAAATGTGTCCTGTGTCCTTCAACACCACCACCACCAATCCCCCCAAGAATCTCTGTCAGTGTAACTCTTTCTTACTGCTTTGCAGCTTAGCATAGCGTACAGGGAGCAGTGAAATGCTATGTGACTAAAAATGACTTTCCCTGCTGTTTTTCTTTCTTCTCTCATTTCTGTTTTCAACTACAGGTCCTTGATGATCCTGCAGAAGACAACTTATACATGGGTATGTGAATCAGAGCTGTCTGAACTTTAGACTTAGTGGTGCAAATAACTTGTACCAGGACCTGGGAGGGAACTTGTACCAAATTAGCAGAATTAGTTTTCCTCAAATGGCAGTCCCCTTAGGGTAAGGTAGCCATGTGTTCCAGCAGAGCTGCACCCATCTCCTTGTCCATAAGGACACTGAAAAGATGTGACAGCTGCTCTGGCCTCTTCTTTATATATGCAGGTTCCAATTCCAGAGCCAGGAAAGAAGGGAAGGGTGCAGGAAGGTTTCTTGTACTGCCAGTATGAGATTCATCTCTCAAGTCTCCTGTAGACTTTGGACTGTGGTAGTGATTCAAGAAAGTCATCTCAAGGTGACCCCAGCATTCGGCTTCCTGATGAGTGTTGGGACCTCCTAAGTTAGCAGCACTGCTGTCCTTGGCTGCTTAGCCCAACCCATGCCTTGGGCATCCATACTGGGAGGTAGTAGTGCATTTATGCAAAGGGTGGGAAATTTCTGTCCATTTTCTCTTCCATCTAGGAAGTGCTCTGTTTTGAGCAGAATCCAGAGGGACAGGGAAAGCACCAGGGTTGCCAGATCCTCAGAGATGAGGACATCTGACAGAGTTATATCTCTACTCTGTAGTGTTTCCTGATGAGATAGGCTTAAAGGCTGCTTCTCATAAAAATAATTATGGGATGCTTTGAAGCTGCCTGTGCTAGGAGTCTGTGCCTAGCAAATGAAGCTATTTGCCTTTGAAAGGCTGCTCTTCCCTGTCTGCTGGAGCCCTGTGGGCATTCTGGCAGCATCCCAAAGGTGGCAGGTAAGGCTGATGCTAGTTAAGACAACCGAGGGCATTGTTCTAAGGCCTGAACTCCTGCGGATGGAGAGAAAGGAAAAGATGAGGGAGCAAGGTTTCTCATTGCATGAAAATAAATGCATGAGGCAGTTAAAAAAGCTGCAGAAAATAAAAAGAATAGTCAGTCCTGGAAATAGCAGCAATAGATGTAGGACAACTGGGGAATGTCTTGATCTCATTGGCACTGAAAAATGCAACTAGAGAAAATGGAGTTTGCTCGTTGGTAATTATTATTAACAGTAACTGTGAGTGATCTCCTCTGCTGCATGTTCAGTGAGAAGAAAGCAGAAGATTGAGGGTAGTGGTGGAAATCAGAGCAACCTGAAATGATGCAAAATGGTTGAATAATGAAATGCTACCAAAAGCTGCGGCTTCTTCAGGGAAATCTTTCTTGAAGGAAAGATTTGCTGATGCAGGTTGGCTTGTATTTGTAACTTCAGCTGACCAAAGTCACAGCTATAAGCAGGTCTCTGTGTGCTTTGCAAGGAGCAATCTGCTGGGATTTCTTCAGAGGTGCAAAAAATTCCTTAGTAACTGATGAGGAAAGAGCTCTCCTACAGATAATGGCAGATTTTTCTGACACCAGTTCTGGTTGTGCCTTACACATCTGGTGCCAAGACCTCCAATGGGAGCGTGCTGCACTCTTGGAGATACGGACACGGCCCTAGAGTGGTGCTGGGCATTTTAGACTTCTGCAGAGCAGAAGTTGAGTGACGTTAAGTGTCTGCTTTAGTTTGCAGAAGGGGTCAGAGGCAGGCCTCCAGCTGGCTCAAAAGCATTGTTCCCATCACTGCTGTTTTGCTCCCTGTTGTTTTGTAGCCTGGCTTTTTGGTAGCTGTGTATGTTGGGCTGCAGAGGAGCATTCCCCTTCAAAAGGTCAAAGGGTCTCAAGCACCAGGCTGGAGCTAGGAGTCTTCAAATGTCCCTGTTGTTTTCCTGCAAGTTGCTTCATATCCTAGCATTGCTACCTAACAGTATTTCATGAAACCTCAGTAATTGCTGCCAAAGGATCAGAAAAACACCCATGGCTGGGACAAGCTGCCATTTTAACCCCTGAATCAGACGCACAAACTCTCATACTCTGCAAACCTCAACTCATGCCAATAAATTCTCTACAATTGCACCCCCAGGGAGTGTTTACCTGTCTGATAGCATTATAGCTGTGCTGCTGATGCTCACGGCAGAAATGGAGCAGTGCGTTCTTAAAGCACCTCATTCGGTATCAGCAACTTAGCAGAAATATCACCAAACACCTGCCCTGGAGGTGGAGGTACTGAATGAGGCAGGCCTCAAATCAGCAAGGACTAACACTGGGATCAGCAGAAATATGGCTAGTAGATTACCCACTGTCCTCCTTCTTGAAACTGGCAGGAGGTGGGGATATTTGTCTTTGTTAAAGAGATGAATATTCTCATTTAGCATCTCCTGATGTTCTTGTCATGTGGGAACTCAGAAAGGTGAAGGAGATAAATGGATTTTGCAGGCATAGGAACGAATGCATTGTTATAGGTGCTAAAAAATGAATAAGCCTGGTTCTCTCTTCTGTTTCATTCATGACTTGATTTCCTTCCTTGCAGTGTTTGACCTCCTGAGGAAAGGGTAAGTAGCCCTTCTGGGATCCCGTGCTGAAATTTTTGGTGTTTATTGTTAGCTTCCTAGGTGAAATTGAAGTTTTGATGCGCACAGTGGGGCAAACCACCCTCTACAGGCAAGCACAGAGGAGACAAGCCAGTAGTTACCTTCATGCTGTCACAGCCTGGGACATTGCAGTGGATCATAATGGGCTCAGAGAAAATGTGTCCTGGTGTCAGGTTTTGATCCTGATGCTAAATTTGGTGCCGTTTCCCCACTAGATGCCTGGAAGAGAAGCTCTTTGTAGGGAATATTATGCTGGGGTAGCCGCCATATCATAGCTTTCTCTCAAGACTCAAGAGTGTAAAATAACATCAATGATTACTTGTGATGCATGGCCTTACATTGCCCTCAGTATGAATACATTGTGGGAGGCTGTTCTGTTGGCACATTTCCATGGCAGGTGCAGTGATGTGATGGCTGTCTGCACTGCTATTTGCTACACCTGGGCTGGACCTGCAGCCCTGCGGAGTTGCAGTAAGGTTGAGAGAGCTGAACCCAGGATGGGGGAGATTCCCCAAGAGCTTGTTTCTCTCTTTAGCCCACAAACAAGCCTCTTGCAGATGGCCAGCACCAGCAGGCTGTTGGTGGGAGGCTCCCAGTCTCCCTGGTGACCAGGCTGATGACTGTAGGAGGTGGTGGGGGGAAGCTCCTGCAATCAGCTGAGGCCAGGGCCAGCGAATGTGCTGTTTGACCAAGCACAGCCTGCCTGCCTCTAGCGGAAGGCAATTAGACTCCATTAGTTGCTCTGTCAGTCCTGTCGCTCACGTTATTTCTGCCTGGTTTCAGCAGCAGAAAAATGTTTATAAAGAGGGGGAGAAGGCAATTGCAGAAAGATGCAAATTGGAGAAGGTTATCTATCAAACTGCAGCAAGGGGGGAAGAGAGAAATGCCTCAGGAGCAGCCTCTGCTCAGGTAGAGGGTTGGTCCTGGACCTTCTGAGATCCAGGCTCTCAGTGATAGGACCACAGCAATGCAGAATAATTTCAGAAACATGAAACAGTAACGAGTGCTGCTGCCATTTTGCAAAAAACTCAGGAACTCAGTTACTCCTTCTTCCTTACAGGGCTGTCATGGAGGTACCAAGCGATGAGCCATTCAGCGAGGATCAGGCCCGGCTCTACTTCCGAGACATTGTTTTGGGCATTGAGTACTGTGAGTACCACCAAAAGTGATGGCTGTTTTGCAGTGCATGTCAGCCTCCTGTTCTGCTGGAGAGAAGCCTATCAACATCAGTAGGCTGTATCAGCTTAGCCAGCGAGATCCTCTCTAATTGCATGTGACAGGGTTTGCAGATGGTGGTCCTGCTCAACTCAGGTTTACCCAGGTTGCATAACAGATGCTGGAAGCAGACATTCTGTGGAAGGGACATTAGGAAAACAGTGGCTTGCATTATGTCCTCTTTTTATATTTTCAGAGAGTCTTTGAAAGCAATGGCAGAGCTAGCAAAGAAGCATTTGTAATGATGTAGATGAGTCAGTGACTTCAGCTGAAACAGAGTGCTGTCTCCATCTTAGCAAGGCAAGCACTAGCCATGGGAACAGCAGCCTCTGAAAGTAGCTAGTTTGGTAGAGCTGGGCATTTATGGGTGCAGATACAAATCTTTACCACTAAGAGGTTATGAGTCAGAGACCCTGGTGCTTTGATGTGGTGTAGCACTGCTTGCTGGCCTTACTCCCGGGCTGTTTCTGAACATTCTATGCTGCACATTCCCACTCCTCTTGAGCCTCAGTACCAGCGTTGTCCCCATGTCAGAAGGCACAACTTGGATCCTCTGTTGATCACTCATGCTAGCCTAAGACCTTCTCTCCCTTTTCTAACAGAAGGTCTCTGCCTTTCCTCTCACGGTTGCTCTTTGCACTGGATCTCTTCATGCCCCTAGTGCTGCCAGGGACTCATGTTGCACAGTATCATCTGAGAGATATAACCATAAGTCATCTGGTAACTGCTTGTGTACCAGCAGGTTGTCAGATGCTGGTGAGCAGCATTTGGCATTTTGATTCTGCTGTCCTTGTTGTAGGTGGCCTTCCACAGTGGTTAGTGATCTTGTTATTAACTTCTGTCTCTGAACACTTGTGTGCTAAAGAATTGGCCATGATTGGATGGCTCAATAAGGGGAGTAAGAGTCAACACAGCTTTTTCAGAGGGAATTCATGCCTCACTGATCTGATAGTGTTCCAGAGGAGTCAACAAAAATGTAGATAAGATGATCCTTTCGCTACAGCGTGCTTGGATTGTCAAACTGCTGTTGATTAGATTTGTTAACAGAAGCTCATAAAGAAAGTATTTTTGGTTGGCTGATCTCTTTTATATTAACAACTAGACAGTGATCAGGAAAGTAGGAACACAGCTTTTACAGTGGAGAAAGGTCACTTGTGCTGTTAAACAGGAGTCCATCATGTGGCTGGGTTGTTTTATATATCCCTAAATGCCCAGAAATAGAATATATTGCAATATGAGAGGCTGGTGATGACAACTAGTTGTTCAAGAGTAGTCATCATTAGAACTGACTGGAAGGGAGATGGCGTGATAGTGAGTGATGGTATGATAGAAAGGCAGATAAAAATCCTTGTTGCCAAATACAGATATTTTATGAGGGGGAGAAACAGCACTAAAAATATGTACATCGTGACAGGCTCTAAATGAGCTGTTCTCACTCAGTTCTCGTTCTGGATAGTTTTCTGGTGAATGCCATTGCCTAGAGATAGTCAACAAAGTTAACAGGATTTAGTGAATTACTGGGAATGGAATAAAGAATAAAGTAGAAAATATCATTATGCAATTGTTTGGGTCTGTAAGAGCTCTTAGATACCAGAGAATAATATCTTGAATGCTGTATGCAGTTCTGCACTGCGGTTCTGCACTGTCTCAGAAACCACTCTCTAGAAACCACCCTAAAAAAGGTGATCAGAAGAATCCTGTACAGAGAGATGAAATAAAGCACTTCAGTTTTGAAAATTACCATGGGATATGGCAGAGACTATCCTGTGTGTCTGAGAAGAGGTGAACAGAAAGAACTGAGGAGCAGCAAACAAAATAATCAAGTGGCAAGTTTTAAAAAGAAGGAAGGTAATTAACTGTGACATTAATTGCTGAAAGAGATGGCAAGTACTTGAAGTTAATGGACTCAGAAAGGACTTGACAAATTTGTAGCAGAAAGGAGTATCAAGGGCTGTTATATACGAGAATGCAGGCAGTTTGTCTTTGGGAGTGTCTGTGCTGTATGCTTTGCGTCTGTCTGCCTAATGCTTTTCTCCAAGCTATTGACCCTGACAGGAGATGGGCTCCTGGGGAGGGTGGGCCTCTGTACATCCTTTGCTCTCCTCCAGCAGCTTATCTGTGTGGTCCTTAAAGTTTTTGTTGTGCTCACCTGAGAGCAGAGGTAACTGTTGTGCCCAGTTTTGTGAGATCAATCTAAGTTAGCTTGAGATCTCTCAGATGTGGCACCTTTTTAAAACCCTGGCTTATCGTGACAGTATGGGCACGTAGTTCCAGTGGCAAATCTGAAGGCAGAGCAGCCAACAGGGAGGGGCAAACACATTTGATCAAGTGTTTGTCAGCCATGGCAAGTGAGCATTGTGCAAAGTAAGAAGCATCAGATATTTGCAAAACAGAGAGCTGTGTCACATCCACACTGTCATTTGAGGTGATGTTTTCCCAGCTGTTACAACATCAGGAAGAAAATAGGAAGGAATTGTTTCAACTGTACTTTCAAAGGTGCAACACGTAGCTGTGTCAAGCATGAAAAGAATATTTCATGCTGCTGTAGTGCCTTGAGCCACATCTGCCTTCATTTCACTCAATCTCAAGTGGCCCCTGCAAGCTCAGCACTCCTGAGGGTCAGGGTGGGCCCTCCCTATCCTAAAGCTTTCGTTGAAGGTGTATCACCAGGTTTCAAATGGAGACCAGTTCTTGCAGAGAGCTGTTTTCTGATGAGTGTTGATAGCCCTTGCCAAGGCAGAGCAATGTGGTTTGCAGTGTCCTGATCCATCTTCACTGAAATACAGTGGCACCTCATTTTGTTTATCTAACATCAATGGGAAAAGTAGCAGCTGGTGGGAAATGAAATCATTGTTTGCTCTTTTGTGACAGTCCAGAGAATTCCGTGCTAGAAGCTAAAAAAGCAGTCAGCTGAAAGGTTTTTATGAATGGGGATGGGAAGCTTAAGACTGCTTTTCAGTAGAGTCTGAAGGGCAAAGACTGCAGCTTTTTATATTCTCATCAGTATTCACACAATTGCAGAGCCTGCATGCCTCAGCTGGGAGATGCAGGCTCTGCTGTGCTGGATGCTGCTGGCACTTGCAGTAGGTAACAGCTCTTGCTTAGAAGAAAGTTTAACTTAGAAGACAGTAAAAAAAAAAAAGTTCTTGTTGTCCTTGGCAAAGACAATGAAATGGGGCAATAAATTATAGGATGCCCAAGCACTCACAACAGCGGGAACAATAGGATGCTTTATTTTGGGTTATTGAGTAAGCACTTATTTTATTAGCAAATGAAAGTTAAAAATGGTGTTCTCTCAGAACTGCTGGGTAAATGCATGGCAATTATTATGTAATTACAGGGGGAAAGTGCACCATCTATGCACACTGAAGAAAAAGTGTTGCCAGGCAATCTAGAGATTGCAAGGTAATTTTAATGGAAGCATACATAATTGTTATGTAATTTGGGAGACTCAATAACCATGCAGCTGCTTGAAGCTCACAGTCATCACAGCAGCAAATGCATCATTGCTGGTTGAGTTCTATTAAATTAGAAGTTGCAAAGTGGATTCCTGTCAGAGCCTGCAAGGTGTTAATCCAGGTCCATGTGTGCACTCTGCAAACAGAGGTAGGCAGTGAAGTGGCTGCAGTAGCCAAACAGATGGGAGATGTGGGGTGACCTTTAAAATGATGGGCGATGGCAGGGGGTCCACAGGCACTGTGTGTCAGTGGGGGGATAAGCTGTGCTTGTCATTCACGATGCTTGCCTGCAAGGAGGACTGATCTGGAGAGAAGCATTTGGAGGCAGAGTGTGGTAATACTACCAGTTCACCTGTTTCGGTTTTGTTTGTGTGAACTGCTTTGGGAGTCATTTAATCACACACACACTTTAATTCACGTCCTGTAGTGAAATGGGCTCTGCAAAGGAAAGTGCTTTTCCTTTTGCTTGGAAGACTTCTCCAGTACTACTCGTGTTGCTCTCATGAAGTGGGAAGGCAGTGTGCTGTGAGTGCCACTGGAATGGTGATTTAAGAAGGTACTTAAACGTTTTGGGTAGAAAAGTTTTGCTGGATTATCCATGTCATTAACTGAAGCATGTGCTTACGTGCCTCCGAATTGGGGATATTTGCAATTACCTTCCTTTCTACTTGTAATCTGCCTCTAGTAGTGTTTATCTGGGGTTAATTAAATTTCAGTCTTCTTTCTGGTAAGCATTGCTTTCCCAGTGGCAGTCAGAAGAAATGGATGTGCTAGGAGGCAAATCACCAAAGGAATCAGCAGCCAAGCCAGGAATCAACCCTAAAAACTGGAGGCTGAGTGGGGTGCTCCTCTGCAGGCCAAGCAGCTGCACAGAGTGAGCTGAGGTGCCAGCACTCAGGACAGGCAGATGTTGTAGCCGTGCTTCAAGGGTCAGTAACTCAGGCATTTTCTTAGTCAGAGGGGTTTTTTTTTTTAATATAATAGCCCCTGATATTTTTTTCCATTAATACGTTCAGTTCTTTTTTAAGCTTTTGTCAGTTTCCAGCATCTGTTACCTGTTTACATGGTGTGTAACAAGCAGTTTCTGTCTGTGTTTGAATCTGGTCCTGGAGGCTTCAGCTGACAGAAGGGGTGACCAGACACAATCATGCTCTGTCTGCACTGCCCCTGCCTTTAAAGATGTCTGTTGCTTTGTACTTTAGGGCTGTCTGTTGGAGGCTGCAGAGTCCTTATCTATGTCATTGTTGCAAAGTGTCCTTCCATCCCTTTGAGCATCTGTTAGAAAAAGCTAGGAATCGTGGAGTCCCCCAGGCCTAATTAATGACAGCACAACTGTATTTTGGAGTTAGAAATATGGCTGAAAATACTTACCGTGCTTCCTTCCCCTAAGAAAACATACAGGTTTTCTGGACAAAGCCAGGTGTTCTGCTGTGCCTTACTTACTGTTTTGTTCTGATACCTTGCTTGTGGCGATAA